AAGATACGGAAGGAAGCATTCCTGTAATTAACGGAAGGAAGCATTCCTGTAATTAACAAAAGGAAGCATTCCTGTAATTAACGGAAGGAAGCATTCCTGTAATTAACGGAAGGAAGCATTCCTGTAATTAACACAGAAAAATTAAATTTCCTGACCATCAACATTTGCTTTGATAGCTTTTCAAATCTATGAAAAAATTCAACCACTGATAATCAACCAGAAGACATTTTATAATATTTTGTTATCTGTTAAATGTTTACTGCCTTAGTCTTGAAACGTAACTAGGATGTTAAGCCTAAATTGTAGAATTAAAAACTGGCAGTGATGCTACATGATACAACATTCTAAGCTCTCAGAATCATTACATAGTTGAAATGAAACAAAAAAAAACACATTAAGAACATGATTTTAGAACGATTACATATAATATTCAATACTTCAACTGAACATTAGCAATTAATATTAAAATTATTTCGAACTTATTACACACATTAAAGACTTCAAATGAATATTAGTAAATGTTACATCATTTTTCTATAATAAGATACAATAATTAAAAAATATTATTGTGAACATTCACGAGGAATATGCGACCCAGATTAAGGTCTACAAACGTATTAAATATTCTACAAAAAAACAAAAAAAACATCACTTCCCGATTTGTCATCCAGTCAATATTATACAAAAATATCAGACATGTGTAACGTACCTCAAAATGCATTTAATACATTTAACATATTTCTATTAAGCCACGTGTTGCTGGATGTAGAGTGGTTTTCTACAAGATTAGAGGTTACTCCTAGGCCTCTTTACAGGTGGATGCTAAAGCCAATATTATCTAGCACTACCGATAAAGAAAGTCCTATTAAAAGTGTAACCCTTTCTATACATAAGTGGAAAATCACGGCTGTATTTGAACTAGAATAAAAGAGAGAAGATCATCAATGATATGTTAAACTTTATTTATTTATTTTCATTAATTTTATTGAATAAATACGACCAGAAATGTATGTGACTAAATATCCAACTTCTTCCATCAAACATTGTGGAATATTTCCAGAAGGTTAATCCAGGAAATAGAATATAAAGGAAAACAAAACAGTACATCATCATGATCGACCCCTAATAAATTCATTAATTACCTGGAGTATTAAAATATCTAAAAAGTTTGTAGCAATTAACGTCGGTTAAAATATATAGAATGTAACCTAAAATTCGAAGCTGTACTGCGAATGTTTTTAAATATCACTAATAAAGTTGAGGGCTTATAATGCTAAAATTTGGGGTTTGACCCTCGTAGTGAGAACAGCGCAGGTAGCCCATTGTATAGCTTCGAGCTTAAAACAACAAACAAACAAACTTGAGGATAATACAAACACTTTTATATGAAGGTGTTCGTTCCTTGTTACGTGACCTGTTAACAATAACCGAGTAATTTTTCATTTAACATTAAAGCACATATTTATATAAATGACATAGCTTAAACGTATTTTTAAACACTACCGAATTACAATAGTAATTATTTAATAAATATATATTTATGTCTAGACAGAGTACATTTAACGATGTGTTCATGGAATTTTCTTAGAAACTTCAAAAAAAAAACACTTCAGTTTTCATATTTATACCCGAAACAACGTTTGACTGATGGAAACATATGCGTTTTTCTCTAGACGATCCAATAGTAAGAATATGACACAATCTGAAAAGGAAATATTTACATACTCGTGTGAAAACACAACGCTTTTATTTCACACCCCATGATATCTTCATAGTTTTATCCAACTCTGAGCATGAAATGTGTTTACACAGCAATCGGAATAACGATACTCATGCCACTGGTATAATAAATATATACGACGTGACATAACTTTGTATGACTCGTTAACTTTTACTTCCACGACATTCGTAGGTTATTTCGACATCATGATCTCTTGGGAATGGTTGACTACAAGGACAAACTCTTTTTTTTCCCTAAGTCTCAGGTTTTTGTTTTGAGATTAGTAATTCTCAGCTTGAATAACGTTGTTTGTTTTAAAATAAAAAATATAAACTTTAATGGTTTTTTTTTTCAAACTATCTTCGGGAAATTAAGTTTCTATTTTTTATAGATTCTGTACGATCCACGTTTTTTAAAAAAAACCTCTAAAATTTTGTACTTCAGTAAATGACGTATTGTTTCATTGAACCTTCTTTTGAAATGTGTGTGGATAACGATGTGTTTTTCTTTTGGTTTGTCTGGTAAACATTTTTTTATGAACTGTATTTTACAGATCTTGATTTAGAATATTAAGTAGAAATAAATATCGGAGATTTATATCAAAACATAATCAGAACGATATTCAGAAAATGCAGAGAATCAACAAATTAAAAAAAAATATATATTAATGTTGTTTTTAACGCATAAAATGTGCAGATTTAAATAACTGTCTCAGCTAGAAACTAATGTAGTGTGTAGTAGAATCCCAAACTGATAATGTAGTGTGTAGTAGAATCCCAAACTGACTGAAGCTTTCTAAGCAATAATTACTATTGCTTACAGTAAAACCAATACATCGTGAAAAAGTTTCCAATTTGAAGAAAATAAAGGCACATTTCATACAACTGCTCTTGACACTTCCTATCACTATGTTACATATTTTACTTTAAGTAACCGCCCAGTCAATCTCGTTCCAGTTTAACAATTTTAACCGTCGCGCTAGTTTACAGCAATATTCAAGTGGATTGTTTGAAAAGACTTACTATTAACCGTCGCACTAGCTTACAACAATAGCTTACAACAATATTCAAGTGGATTTACTTGCTATTAACCGTCGCACTAGCTTACAACAGTATTCAAGTGGATTGTTTGAAAAGACTTATTATTAACCGTCGCACTAGTTTACAACAATATTCAAGGGGATTGTTTGAAAAGACTTATTATTAACCGTCACACCAGCTTACAACAATATTCAAGTGGATTGTTTGAAATACTTACTATTAACTGTCGCACTAGTTTACAACAATATTCAAGTGGATTGTTTGAAAAGACTTATTATTAACCGTCGCACCAGCTTACAACAATATTCAAGTGGATTGTTTGAAATACTTACTATTAACCGTCGCACTAGCTTACAACAATATTCAAGTGGATTGTTTGAAATACTTACTATTAACTGTCGCACTAGTTTACAACAATATTCAAGTGGATTGTTTGAAAAGGCTTATTATTAACCGTCGCACCAGCTTACAACAATATTCAAGTGGATTGTTTGAAAAGACTTACTTTTAACCGTCGCACTAGCTTACAACAATATTCAAGTGGATTGTTTGAAAAGACTTATTATTAACCATCGCACTAGTTTACAACAATATTCAAGTGGATTGTTTGAAAAGACTTACTATTAACCGTCGCACTAGCTTACAACAATATACAAGTGCATTGTTTGAAAAGGCTTATTATTAACCGTCGCACTAGTTTACAACAATATTCAAGTGGATTGTTTGAAAAGACTTACTATTAACCGTCGCACTATCTTACAACACTATTTAATTGGATTGTTTGAAAAGACTTATTATTAACCATCGCACTAGTTTACAACAATATTCAAGTGGATTGTTTGAAAAGACTTACTATTAACCGTCGCACTAGCTTACAACAATATTCAAGTGGATTGTTTGAAAAGACTTACTATTAACCGTCGCACTAGCTTTCAACAATATTTAAGTGGATTGTTTGAAAAGACTTACTATTAACCGTCGCACTAGCTTTCAACAATATTTAAGTGGATTGTTTGAAAAGACTTATTATTAACCGTCGCACTAGTTTACAACAATATTCAAGTGGATTGTTTGAAAAGACTTACTATTAACCGTCGCACTAGTTTACAACAATATTCAAGGGGATTGTTTGAAAAGACTTACTATTAACCGTCGCACTAGTTTACAACAGTATTCAAGTGGATTGTTTG